AAAAAGCAACAAAAACATGCAATTCTGGTTTTTACTTAAGTGTAATTGTATTCAATAGCCTTATGTTTAATGTTACCACTTGTTTTGCAGGTGTAAATAAGATTCTCATCTGGCAAACAGTGCTACCTGGACAGACAATAGAACTAATAAGGCAGAAAATTAAATGGAAGCCATGAAATATCAGGCATCACTCTAGGAAAGCCAACAAGCCAATGCCACCCTAAAAATTAACTTGTACCTGATCACAAGATAATGTCAGCTGAAACATGCTTGGCTCGTCAGATATATTTGGTGATAATGAGAAAATGTACTATTAAGTTACAACATTCACAAGAGCAGTCACAGCAGACATAATAAACCTAGAGGTCAGGCCAGTCAAAGCAACTGGAGCTATTCCTAGGTTGACCCTTTTTAAACCCCAACTCAAGCTAGCCATTTTAAGATTCAAGAGTGGCGAAAGGTCAGAAGAGGAAGGGAGAAACTTTCTGCAAGTGGGGGAGGGTGGGTGTAGACAGCTTTTAGAACCTTATAGATTCTTTTAAAAACTTATACCTGAAAAACTTTATTGGGACACAGATGACCATAAAAACATGTCTGGCTTTGTAATGATGCCCCAAGTTATGCCTAAAAATGTTTTTCCAAGTCTCAGCTGCCAAAAATCTCCTACCGGCTTGTCAACAAATTATTTTCATAATCGATTAGTTGCCCGATAATTTTTTCAACTAATCGATTGGTTGTATTCAAAAATATACTCTCTCGCTCACTAATCGATGATGAGAATTGTTGCAGCCCCAGTAACAACAAAGGTACTGCTGAATAAACAGGCCCACAGCACTGATCCAAGCCAGTTTAATAAAAACTCTCACCCCATTACCCTCCAGCAGCCAAATTCTATTCATCTTCCGTCAGCCATTCTGCAGACATGCTTTGAATCTGAATTGGAAAATGTGTGATGCATTTCAATAAATGGCATCCACGGACTGCTAGGATATTCAGTAAATAATGACGTGTATTCTTTATAGTACTTGGAGACCCAAGAGAGAATATACATTTATTGCTACCAACTTTTCTCTGTGTTATACGGGTTTTCCTTACAAGTGATCAGACCACCACCGTTACAACTACCTGTAAAATGATAAAGCATGTCTCAAACATGAAGGTCTTAAATTGCTGACCTTTTCTCCTGCCTCAACAGTAAACCAATGCGAACAAAAGAGCCTTTTTCAGAAGAGGAAACCACATGTAAAAACACACGTTTCATGTAATTCATATGCACAGGCCTCTCTGCATTCCCTATTAGGAAAGTGTTTCATAAGCATTACACTCTGACCTCCCTCCCTCCCTCTATTTATTAAATGCTGCCTGTCTTTCTCCAGACCCAGGAGCAGACTCCATTTTACCTCACTTGCCACATAACTTCAAAACAGCTGCTGCCAAAAGATGGAGAGGCCAAAAGGATTCATCTTAAAATAAGATTGGATTTCCTGCATCCCCCTTCACAACATAACAGGATCACTGACAGCACTTTCTAAGCACAATCAGGGCCGTTAACAGCATTGAAGAAAGTGTTGTAAGCACCTATAAAATATCTTCATCATATAAAATGCACACAGCTATGCTCAGTTATTGCTTATGTCTGTAAGTCCAGTCAATTCATATATTGGTAATAGGATTCTTCAATAGACCTTAACAGAGCAGCGATGGGTAAAGAATAGACTTAATCAAGCAGAATTCATTCTAAAGTCAAATCTTTTAGACCCCATTTACACCTCCCAAGCTTTAAAAACGGGCAATATAAAAACGAGTAATATAAAGAAGCGGGGTCCAAATGTCAAGTTTTAAGTTAGGCATTTACAAATCAATGACTCATGAATGGCCTTACTAAATATATGGACACATGTCTAACCTGCACAATCCTTATCTTGGAGTACCTTCCAGGACACAGGATTTCATCCTGGAACCATGGGAGGTCCAAAACAAGTCCATCTGAGGGGTAGGCAACACAGCACACGCTAGCAGGCCCACGTAACCAACAGGTGAAAAGAAAGGACTCATCTCTTCAGGGAAGCCTATTCCACCTCAACCAAATTCTCACACAATTAATCCCCACACAGCTACCTCCTCATGTATCACTTGTCCCTCCATTTTAGATTGTAAGCCCTCACGGGCAGGGCCCTCCTTATCATCTTGTCTTTAATTGTATTGTGATTGTAATGTCTTCCTTATATTGTAAAGCGCTGCACAAACTGTTGGCACTATATAAATCTTGTATTATAATAATAATGGCTCCAAAGAACTCAAAGCAGCATGAAGCACTTAACGACTAAAACCGGCATCAGATGAGGCCTGAATATCAATCTGGTAAAACAAAGAGTCTGAACAGGAAGACCAGGTGACAGCCTTGTAAATCTGAGAAACAGTCCGCCATGACAGAGAAGGGCGGAACCACATCTTTTAGGCTTGAATGATGAGTTACCAAATCCTCCTGAATAGTGAAATGAGAGGCAGTGTCCCCAACAGCAATCTACAGGAATGAGAAGAAGCTGTAGCTGAGGAATTAACTTGAACAGTGTGTACTGACAGGCAAGTTTAGACAGTGGAATATCCTTTATAAGTTTAGAGGGCTATTTATGAAGGACCAACAGGACCAAGTTGAGATTCCACAGTTTCACTGGGGAACGTACAGGGCATGCCATGTGAATGGCACCCCGCATTAAAAGAGAACTAGGAGGCAAGTGATTTTCACTCATCCTCATAGTTCGAGCCGACGTGTGACAATGAAACTGTCACACATCGGCTCAATAGAGCGGGAAGTGAGTGAACACGTGTCGCTCGCTCACTTCTCGATCATGCCCCTGCAGAGAGTGGTGATGGTCACTCACGGCTCCCTGCAGGGATCTCCCCCCCCCCAAACCTCCAGTGCTGAGTGGAAGAACGGTCTATAGAAAAGGATTGCCAGGGCCGAAATCTCACCCTTGATGTTTTTATTTTTTTATTTTTAAAGCATTTTCTAATCTGTCAACAGGAAAAAACAACATGTTTCTGATTGCTACTTGAAAATGCTCCCTGGTTCATATTTGAGAGTCACAAAAAAACCCACCCAAAAAAACTACATTTTTACAGATGCAGAAAAGTTAAAGCATTTGCTATTCATTTGAAAATAATGGTTATCTCTTGTTGGGGAGACCCACACAAGCTAGGAAAAAGTGTCTAAAGAAAGGAAACGAGACCAGATTACTATATAATCAATGTTAAAATAGGGGCAAGGCATTCAGCACCACCAATCAATGCTAAAGAAAATAAGCACCTTGAGAATGTTCATAGCTTAATGTGTAAGATCAGACATAGATCAGTGACATGGAGGATATCAGAAGTCGCATGCATGGTTTCCCTTTTTCTTGCACTAATAATCACTGCATATTAATTCCAAGAGAAACGAATTACCGTTTTGTTTGCATAAAATACATTATGAATCC